TAACACAAATGAATTTTCAATTTTGGGATAGTTATTAAGTCTGTTTTTTTCACTCTAGTTCTCTTTGCCAACCCTACCATTTCCCCTCACTGCTATTGTCACTAAGCAGGGAGTGAACTAAATGGAATAAACATTAGTAGAAGCCGTATCACTATTCCCACCCCATCTGCCCCAACTATATACCCCACATATCACATCTTACAGAGTTCACTAACACAAAGCACCGCCAGGGACAGAATAGGGCACACCAGGAATCTCAAGCTTCAGACAAGAATGCCTCCTTATACTGACAACCGAGGCCTAGAACTGTTTACCTCTCATTAGTTTTGAAAAAGCATCAGAAATTAAAATGCTGTTGATGTGAATGCAGATTCATAGGGAAAAAAATACTATGCAACAAACCTAATGGAGCTCAGGAGGGAGATTTTTCATTTTAGGAGCTGTTTGGTTTAGAAATAAACAAACTGTAAGCAATGGTATCTCCTTAATGTCCCCTCTTTCCATATGAACCAGAGATCTAATCGTCATCCACTACTGGACTGGACAAGAGAGTATGTAATTCAACCAGGTTACTCACTGGATGCCCCAAGTGACTGCATTCGAATATACAGCATCTGGAATGCTGGAATGCTCACTTAGGCAGTCAAGAACATGTTAATTCAGACATTTTCTTTTTTTAATGTTCATTTATTTATTTTGAGAGAGAAAGAGAGTATGAGCACAAGCTAGGGAGAGGCAGAGAGAGAGGTAGAGAGAGAACCCCAAGGAGGCTCTGCACTGTCAGCACAGAGTCCGACAAGGGGCTCAATCTCACGGACCGTGAGATCATGACCTGAGCCAGAATCAAGAGTAGAATGCTTAACCGATTGAGCCACCCAAGCGCCCATAATTCAGACATTTTAATAAAAATATTAAATATAAGTCTGTTAAAATGAATTGCAAGTAATAAAAGATACTGTAAAAATAAAAACTAAAATAGTGAGGGAGTACATGGGAACCCTGTACTTTTCACTTAATTTTTTTCTGAAAACCTAAAACTGTTAAAAAAAGAGAGAGAGTCTATCAATTTAAAAAAAGAGAAAAATAGAAATCAGGAACATAAGAACAATCTCTGAAGTGGGCTTCAAATCTTGTTTAATTCTATGGCCTCCACAACATGAAACAGTGTCAATCAGGTTAGCCCTCAGGGGTCTAATCCTTTGTTGAAGCCACGGTCCAGATTACCCATCAGACAATCAAATTTAGGACATCTCTTACATTGGTGATGTTTTAATTATTCTTTAGATTATTATTATTATTAGACCTAATCATATGGTTACATCCTGTCTCGCCAAATAAAATATAAGAAACTTCAGATAAAGCTGAGAAAAAAGTTGGCATGTAACACAGTGCCTTTAAAATGGTAGTGATAACTGTATACATGTAGCTATTTACAACTTAGAGTTCATCGAACTCTAGGTACCCAATCTTTGTATTTAACTGCAAAGTGATGAACTATCAACTATTAATGAAGTCCCTAGGAGGTGAAACATGAAGGACTTTGCTCCCTTTGTACTTCATATAATTTGCTTTTAGTGGATGAATTATGAATTTTTCCTTTTGCTTTTAGGTTCCCTACTTAAACACAAAGAGCATTTTTGCAAAATTCTAAAGGGAGAAGGAGTGTATAAACGTGAGTTGGTACACACAAAAGAAGATACTTTGGGAATGGGTGGTGTTCCTTTAGTTTTCTCTTTTCCATGGTTATACATTGTTGGTAGCCTTCTGTAACAAAGGAGATTCCTACCTAAATCAAGGCCAGAAATGACCAGTGTCAAATTAAGGCTAGAAATGGCCAGTGAAGGGACCAGATGCCACAGTCTATCAATATCAGTGTTATGTTGCTAAGTTAGCCCTCCTACCAATCAACAGATCTGCAGATCAGTACAGAAGGCAGCAGAGGCTATGAAAGTTTTATCCAGACAACAATAATTCCTGTGTTCTTATAATTCCTGTGTTCTTATACCAAGATCTCAGAGGGTTAAAAGAAGTCATGCCAACATTTTTTTTTAAATCAATTACCAAGGTAAATTTCTGAGCATACCAAACTATGGCTTTAAGAGATTAACTGTGTTCTTTAGAGATTTATCAAGAATTGTAGTTCCAGGAGGTCAGTAATGACCCATCTATGCTTTCTACCCACTCAGGCAGTTTTAGAAGTTCAAATGTCACAGAAAATGCTTCACATGCCAATGGCCACCACACCCTGTTCTATAGCATACCTCCCTGGCTATTAGAAGCATCAGACATACCTCCAGCTGTAGCCACTGTCAACAAAGAAACAGGCCCGCTGGGAAAAGAGCCAAAAATTATTGACTGGAAAGTTTTCAAGAGGCAGACACTCCAATTTGGCCTTTAATAAAGTACATTTGGAGCAATATAAATAATAAATTAAGAGTGATAGTCATCAAAGGACTATTAATATTGTTGAATTTGTGACATCTTTTAATAACATTATTATTGCATCTCCTAAAACTCAAAGACAGGACACCATAGTTCGGAGCTGGATTTGCTATCAGCATTCTCAATCTGTCTCCTTCCTTCTTGCTCTCATCAACCCTATCTCTCAACACAGACGTCACTCCCTACCAAGCACCAACCCAGTGTATGATATCCAAACAAAACACCCAGGCACTGGCTGTCTTCAGCTAAAAACACTCCATACTCCTTTTTCTAGCCATTCCCAGCTTTAAGTCAAACAAGTGTCCTCTTTGGCTAATTACTATGCTCCTCGAAACACTGAGTGCTTGCCTACTTTCTTCTGCACCTATTCTAAATGGTGTTAAGACCTGAAAAACAGAATAGCACAGTTGAACCCTCCTGTCCCATTATAAAAGCTGTATCCCTAAGCTACGATACAGAATCCAAGTTCCAGCAACAATGAAGTTTTGAAAGCCCCTGGTGTCCACCCTAAAAAAGCACAGAGCTCCGACTCTGTCTTATCACCTACATCCACTCAATAAATATTTACTGAGTCTCACTATGTGAGGGGCTCTGTGTGCCATGCCTTTCTTTTGTAGGAAGCCTTCTCTCCTGTGCATATGTGTGCTCTCTGCCCCCTCAGAAAACCCCTTTGCCAATTGAACACTGAGACCTCCCAATGCTTGGATCTTTTTTTTTTTTAATGTTTATTTATTTTGAGAGAGAGATTGGGAGAGCACAAGAAGGGGAGGGGCAGAGAGAGAGAGGGACAGAGAGGATCTCAAGCAGGCTCCACACTGTCAGTGAGGAGACTGATGCAGGGCTCAAACTCACAAACCGTGAGATCATGACCTGAGCTGAAATCAAGAGTCAGAGGCTTAACCAACTGAGCCACCCAGAAGCTCCCAATGTTTGGATCCTTAATAACTTCTCTATATTCACCTAACTTCCCACATTACTAGTATTTCTTAACCTAATTTGGGTCTAAAACTTCTGCTGAATAGTGTTTTTCTTTTAGTTATGTGTGGACAGCCATCTCCAGTTACCACATTGACATTCTGATACACATTTAAATTGATGTATTACCTTTTCAGCAATGGTTCTCATTTTATGTGCATCAGAGTCACCTGAGAAACACATAAATATACAAACTGCTGGGCTAAAGAGTTTGCATTTCCAACAAGTTCCAGGTGATGCTCATGCTGCTGCTGGTCCAGGGACCATACTCTTAAGAAGCCCTGCCTTTGAGAATCTGATGAAGAACTGCACATACATATAAAATTTTGTATGCAGTTTCAAGGGGTTCACGGATGCCCATTTGTAGATATCTTCTGTTCTATATTTCTTTCTCAGGAATATTTAGGACATGTGCTTCCTGACTTGACCATAAGAATCACTAACTGTGGTACAAAGGCAAGTGCAAACACGTAAGAATGAAGAGGTACTGCTTGGTACTGGAAAGCTGGTTCTGTCCAATGGGCTGCCCCCCTTCAGTCTCATGTGTCTCTTCACATCCCTGTGACCGTTTTTCTGTACTTACGGCTTAATTCTACGAAACAAAAGAACTAATCACTTCATATTTAAAAGGCTCTCTGGCATCACATAAACAAAACTATTTTATAAGTAAAGACATGGTCTGGTAGAAAGAACATGAACACTGGATTAAGAGAGAACTAAATGGAAACCCTGATTCTGTCTTTCCTAAAGGTCTGACCACTAAGCATCAATTTCCTCATTTATAAAACTGAGGATTTCACTGGGAAATTATTTCTTCCCCTTTCAGACATGGGTTATGTGAACCCACTGTAAGGAATGAAAGGGCAAGTGGTTTTACTATTTAACACCAATGATTCTTACTTATGGTAAGGAATTTAAATACTGGATAGAGAGAATGTCTAAATTAGGAAAATAAAAAGGTTAAACTAAATAATTTCTAAAATGCCTTCTAACCCAACATTTTGTATTTATGAACTCTGACTAGCCAGCATGTCATTACTCACTCATACTTTTATGTACTCAACGATCATTGCTCTTTACCTATCATAAACTACTTAAGAAACAATCATATCTTTCCTTATTTTACCCTTCCCTTCTCTACTTCCCTCCACAGAATGTCTGACATCCCAACATTTCCTAGAAAAGTATGATAAATGTGAAAAATAATAAATTACTCTCCTCCCTTCAAATAGGCCTGTGTAAAATAATCTTGTCAATGCAGAAAATCCTTTTTGAAGAAGTTTCCCTCTCTATTTCCTCAACAAATAGCCAGAATCCATTAAATTCATTTTAATCTATTCAATAAGATCTCTCACAACTTGGTTATAATAGATAAACTCAATTTGGTATCTTTTACTTTGTAAAGATCTATTGGACATTCTTTTCTCAATCTACAGTCCTATTTATTTATTGCAGAAACCCTTACATTGAATGTAATATAAGTGAATGTATGTGCACAAATGTCCATCAAAATTACCCCCCAAATACCAGGCTCTATGAATCTCTAACTTATATAAGCACAGAGCAACTTCCACTGAACAGACCTCTTGTAGAAGACGCGGGTCTAGGCAGTCACCATCATCATTGAACAGAGACTCCCAGCTGTCCTCAGTAGCAGTACTTCCCTCCACATGAGAAGCTGCCGTTGCTTTCAGTTCCATTGATGTTTCCATAGGTACAGATTCCACATCAGGAAAGGATACACCAAATTCTACATCCTCTGAGTTATCTTCCTCTTTTGTTTTGAACTCTTCAGCAGTTTTCAGTTCATGCAATGCCTCTGTTATATCACCCGTACAATCTAGATCATTGCCCAAGGCACTGTCTGAAAGTACTTTTGTCCCATTTAACATACTGAGTTCGGAGTCCAAAAAAGTGCTACAATTACTACCAGCAATCTTCTTTATAGGTAAGGAGGAAGCACAATCTGACAAGCTCTCTATCAACTTTCCTGTTGACTCTGTGAAACTAGATGAAATACTCTCAGCATAAATATCTGAGCAAGCAGTCAGGTTGCTGAAATTTTCTATGTCCTTCCCACTTCCAGCTACATGAAGAAGCCCTGTATCTGCACTCATTTCTAAATATTCTGAGAAACTACTCATGTTGCTACAGGCCTCATCGGCTGTTCTAACTGCAACTACACAAGGGCTGCCCACAGTTATCTGATCAGACGGGACGTCTGTAATGTCCACCTCACATGCCTTCTTGGTAAGGTCACCTACACTCTTCGGCCCATTATCTGTATCTGTTTCATGAGCAAGGGGAGCTGTATCAGAAGGTTCATACTTTATATACAAGTCATCAGCAGTGCTGTCATTCTTCTCATACTCTCTAATCACTGTTGGATCAAAAATGCCATTTACACTCTCTAATTTGCTGACTATAGTCATTTTATGAGAGATGTGACCGAAAGTCTCAGGAATGGAATCTGTATCTCTCTGACCCAAGATGTCTGTACTGTTGGCTACTTCACCAACAATCTCAGCTTCAAAGTCTCCACAAGTTTGATCAGTGACACCATCCGCACTTCCAGGAACAGAAATGGCAGTGGTGACTCCACTGCTGAGACTCAACATTCCACCTGATGTTTGCATGCTTTCTTGTACAGCTTCAGAATCAGAATTCAGTTTTACTGGTATGGTCATACTCTCAGGTTTCAATACAGAATTTAAAACTCCAGGAAACTGGGATAGTATCTCCACAACCTTGACATCAGTTTCAATTCTGCTTTCCAAGTCTCTGCCTTCAAATGTTTTGCCACTTAATTCGTGCCTACTCAACTCACAGAATTCCACATTCTGGAATGGTTTGTTCGGAACCTGGGCCTCACTCATTTCTGAACAAGACCGAGATAGAAGCAACTTCCCACATCCTACTGCATCTGCGGTTTCAACCTCCGAACACTCCTCCTTCTCTGGTTTAATGTGTCTTTGTAAAGGTGCACTAGGTAGCATCCCAGGATTTGGGACACTTTGCTGATGTCCTTGGGATGTTGCTTCTTTGGATTCTGTGGTTCTTCTCTTAACACAAATCCTATCTTTCTTTCTTTCTTGAAGGTATGTGTCTTTTCTTAATTTTGTTGAAAATTTCTTTCTTTCCCTATGGTTATGTTCCTTACCATCAGGATTAATGCTTAGTCTCTGAGTCTCAGATTTGTCTCTAAAGGTCTCCTGTTGGAAGAGACCATCTTCTTTTTGTTCTTCCTTCACCACAGAGTTAGGTGGACTACAGCTTTTTTCCTCATCACCTGACTTAAGTAGCACTATACCCCTTCGAGCTTTCGGTACATAAAGTGCCATGTCAGGCCTTCTGGCTCGAACTCTGCATCTCTCTGCTGCTTGCTGCATGGCACCACCTCAATCTGCAAGGAGACAGAATAAATCAATTACCAAAAACGAAGTACAATGTACTGAACCAAGAGATTTTTTTTAAAGACTAGGTAGAGGGCCTACTAACGCATCCTATTGAAATCTTCTTGTTAAAACAAAGTAAAACCTGCCATAAAATAATTAATGCAATAAAGTGTGCAACTAAGGAAAGTGAATTCCAAAATAACTCATGAGCTCATGAATTTTATCCATGTAATTCTCGTACTTCATATTCCCAAAATCCTTTACCTCTAAGTCTCAAGTTGTCTCTACTTTTTTTAACAAGTAGCCTTGTCTTGGCTGAATTAAAAGGTTATCAGAAAAGTGACTGCTGACTATTAAGTACTCATGAAACACTACTATCTCCCTATTCCTAGAGCTAAGAATTTACACTTCAGAGTATATTGAAGGAGGACCCCTAAAAACACATGTGCTCAACATAAATGTATACACATAAGTACTATTTTTAAAAGTAACTTGTATGGAGGCTAGAAGATGAGACAACTAATATGTCACTGCCTTCTAGAACATGTTGCTTTTGAACTATGATTTCTGGGAAAAGAAATAGGTAGTGGGAAAAAGAACTTCACTATTCTAATACTATTTAATCAAATGGCCTACTACAAAGTTTTCTTCCAGCAGCAATAAAATGGCCTGGGCAGGATGAAGAAAAGAGGAGTCCAAGAAATGTGAGGAGACAACTCACATTTAGTAACTTCTTGACAACCTTCACCACAATTGGCCAATGGAAATTAACAAGAGGAAAAACCTTAACCAATGATTCAATAAGCCTTTATCTACCATCAACAAAATACAAGAAAACAAGCTAGACAATTTCACAGAGTTCCTGTAACCTTCAAAATAATACTAAGAAGTATTACTGTATCCACAGCAAAAAGAGTAAGGAGGTACATTACATCACAACAAAACACCCATAAGTGAAAACATGGTATCTGTTTTTCTCTGCTTGACTTGTTTCACTCAGGATAACACCCTCAACTTCCATCTTTCCATTCACGTTGCTACAAATGGCCAGATTCCATCGTTTCTCATTGCCATGTAGTATTCCACTTATAAGTGGAACAGGAGAAACTTAACAGAGTACCATGGGGGAGAAAAGGGGAAAAATAGTTGGGGAGAGGGAGAGGCAAACCATGAGAGACTCTTGAATACTGAGAACAAACTGAGGGCTGACGGGGATGGGAGAAAGGGGAAGGGGGGTGATGGGCATGGAGGAGGGCACTTGTTGGGATGAGCACTGGGTGTTATATGGAAACCAATTTGACAATAAATTATAAAAGAAATAAAGGAAATACCCATATACACTCAGAAGCACTCATTGTTAAGATTTAGCCACGCACATTACTAAAGAAACTCTATTTCCAGATCCCTTGGGTCTCACCTGACCCAGAATACCTCTTCAGGGAAGAAGCTCTGCTCTCATGGCACAGCCTGTTTTCAGCCCATGTATTCACCGTGGCCCTGATCATCAAATGTTCCCACTAATCCTCTCACTCCTTTTCTCTTCTGAAGATTTAATTATCATCTAACCTACAATGTGTGGAAGATTTTCTTTCTAGCTTTCCAACCATAGACTAATATGACTTTAACATTTAGACATGTCAGAATTTTTCAAAAATGCCTACTTTACAAAAATAGAAGTACTTAGTGTATTTCATTGGAAGAGAGCCCACAGACAGTATATTTGACAATATACATCGTGATGAACTTCTACATTAGATGATGGAAAGTGTGGGCTATTTAACAGAACTAGAAGGTGGACTCACAGCAAAAAGTAGTAACAGGTAGAAGTAAATTTAGAGAGGATTATTTAAAGATAATCTGTGTCCCCACAGCCCTTTGAAATTCAACATTTTAAACAATAATTTGAATATAAACAATAAACACTGAGTGCTTATCAAATCTGCAACTGATATAAAATCAGTATGGTTAATAAATGCCAAAAATGATAAAATTACAATTAAATATCATTTCTACAACCTGGAATGCTGTGCTGAAGCAACACGAAAATACAAAAATCTGCTCTGATTTAAAAAAAAAAACACCTCAGAACTGACTTGTATATAATTTGTACACACACCAAAAAAGATTTAAGTTTCATCTACAAAGTCAATAAACCCCAAAAAGTAGTAATGTGGATGTTTAGAAAAGTAACACAGTCTTAGATTACACAGCTCAGAAAATATACCACACAAAATATAGTTAGGAGTGCCTGGGTGGCTCAGTCGGTTAAGCGTCCAACTATTGCTTAGGTCATGATCTCGCGGTTCGTGGGTTCAAGACCCGCGTCGGGCTCTGTGCTGACTGCCAGCTCAGAGCCTGGAGCCTGCTTCAGATTCTGTGTCTCCCTCTCTCTGACCCTCCCCTGCTCGCGCTGTCTCTCTCTCTCCTAGAAATAAATAAAACATTTAAAAAAACTTTTTAAATATAGTTAAAGGAACTAAAGGTTACTTTTTGCTCGAAGAGGTCTAACTGGAAACATCTATGCTACCTTTAAACCTGAAGGACTGGTTGCTCTACAGAAGAGATAAGTGATCCCTTTTATGATTCTATGCTTCTTAGAACCAACTGCTAGAAATTAAAGAAAAACAATATATAGCTCCATATATAGAACTCTCCAATGCTATTATCAAGTAATGAGCTCTGTCTCTACAGTCTGGATGACCGACTGATACACCAGACAAAGAATTTCTATCTGTAGATTAGTCTGGATTTATTTTAAGTATTCTTCAGACTTAAAATTCTACAATTCTATTTCTCTTCCACAACAGATATATGTCAAAGGCTTCAAATTTAAAATTATGTGCTACAGCTAATGACTTTTAAAACTCAACCTTCCTTTTTTTAGTTAATGTCCACATGTCATGATATGATTTCCTAAAGCTGAAAACAGTATAAGAAATTTATGCCGGGGCGCCTGGGTGGCTTAGTCGGTTAAGCGTCCGACTTTCGCTTGGGTCATGATCTCGCGGTTCGTGGGTTCGAGCCCCGCGTCGGGTTCTGTGCTGACTGCCAGCTCAGGGCCTGGAGCCAATTTCTGACTCTGTATCTCCTTCTCTCTCTGACCCTCCCCTGCTCACGCTGTCTCTCTCTCTCTCTCCCAGAAATAAATTAAAAAAAAAGAAATTTATGCCATCCACTTCTTACCAAAACACCAAACTCAATTATGCCATGACCACCAATGTGCTGGTAAATGTTTAGTGACCAGCTCTCCACATGTAATTCAGAGGACTGGTTGATATTTTTACTCGCATCAATAATGTCAACAATAACTTCTTTGCTGAAGTGAATAATCATTTCTGAAATGCAAAATATATTTTCAATTTTTGAGCCATGTACAATGTAAAAAAGACCTGGCACTTTAAGTTTGCATTATTAGCATTTTCTCGATCACTTTACATCTAGACAAGCAATAAACAATAAATCAAACCCTGATTTATGGCATTTGCTTAACTCTGTGATGTAAATATTCCCCCTATAGCTAATTCCAAGCTATCAATGTAACATCACTGAAACTGGAGCTGGGGAAAGGCACACAGTAGCACTCCATGATACAGTAGCTCAACCTAAAGGTTCAATATTCATAAATAACTTCAAGAACATAAATCATAGTAAAATAATTAGGAAGTGATGAATTTTAAGTATTGATTACCTTTTTATTAATGCCATTTAACAACAACTTAATTCTTAACAATTTAATTCTTAATGATGGCTGTGTTACCAGTTTGCAAAACTGCTAAAACTTTAAAAATCAGCTCTCAGGCCAGTGGGAGATATCCCTGGATTCTCCAATACCCCTGGCTAGAACAACTCTTTCCTAATTCCTCACAGACATGCAGAAAAAAGAGGAGCATCCCCATCTTGTGGACTTTTAAGATAATACCAATTCAGTTTAAAGCTTTGTTGTGTTTTCTGTGAACTTCTTTTGCAACTACAGGCATGAAATGCCTTTAACAAGGGGAGAAGGGGTGCCTGTCATACACAGCTTTTTAAATCTATCTTAGATTAAAAATTTCCCACCCAGGTATTTACTAATAATAGCACCTGATGTTTTCTTTCTCTCTTTAATACAGTTTTAACTTTTTTACAATATTCTACATATTTATTGGTCTAGTTTACTTCTTAATAGGCAGGGAGGATCAGTTATTTGGGGTGTATTTTGCAATTTATTCTGGAATGGCCTTCAGCATGCAATTCTGTTCAAAATTATATTTTCTAAACGAGATAAAAACTTAAGACTCCTTTATGATGGTGGGCAGTTAATTGCTAATATACAGCTTTAAAATATTTTAGGTCAAATCATTTTTTTCTATACTATACTTCTGAACACTGGGATCATTTCTGAGGACCTGTCCAGTTGCTTCTAAAGTTTGAAATATTCCTTGAAAGAAAATAATCAGCAACTTCCTCTAAGTACGTCTCTGTCTCATCTTCATGAGTAAGTAAACTAGCATAAAACAAATCAGGCTTGTACATTTTTAGAACAGAATTTTAATGCTGTTGGCCCATACTTGGTATATAAAACATATGGATCCCTCTTCAATCAACCATAGAGAATACAGGCACTCAAGGTAGGCAGCCATTGGGTCATTCAACCAGGAACTGATCTGATCCCAGTACCTACCAGTGTCTCACTAGAGATGGGGTATCTGAGAGAAACTGCCTAATGGGCATGTTAACTATTCATTCTTCAAGAACAAATTAAGCACAACCACTTTGTTAGTTCATTAGAATGCATCATAACAATAGCATATATCTGGTCTTTTTACTTGGAAATAATTTCAAATTTACAGATAAGTTACAAAAGTAAAAATACTACAAAAAGCACCTGTAATCCTTTACCCATATTTATCTACTGTTAATTTTACCCCCTTTGCAACTGTGCATGTTCCCACTCTACATACACACACACATTTTTGTTCTAAACCTTTTGAGAGCAAATTACAGACATCATGGCCCTTTATCCCTAAAT